TCCTAATAACACTCAAAACTTTTGACTAGAAGGATAAAGAGCAAGAAGTACAAGGTCAATTTCATGCCATTTACAGAGACTAATTACATTCACCATCTTGGCCTTCCTGGGCCACTGCAAGTGAAGTCTTAGAGGAGTGTACTCAAATAAATGGTAGCTATCTTCATGATCTAGGACCACATTTATCCAACAAGAGAATCCAGGTGGCTGAACCTGAATTAGATTTTAATACCCTTTTGACGAGGCTGCTACCAGGAGGGTGTACCAACCAAGGTAGTGTGAGATCACTGTTCAGAGAAAGAAAGAAGCATCATGATTGCCACTTCTGGAAAGTTGGAGTACGTGTACTTTTTTCTACTCCTCCTGTTATGTACAGCTAAAACCATTAGACCTTGTGTAAAAACAAAACACAAGAAGTTGAAGAGAAGAAGGCAAACAAGCTAAGGAACTCGGGACCTGAGGAATGATAGAGCAGTGAGTTCCCTGAGTTTTCCTTTCCCTCATGTAACCCAATTGAGTCCTGGAGAAGCTAGTAACCTGGAAATGCCAATAGGTGCAGACTAAAAAATACAAGAAAAGCCTTCTTTCTCTAGCCAAAGGACCAGGAAAAGGACAGCCTACAAAGACAGAAAACTTTAAGACAATAACCAGTCTACTCCAACCAACACCCCAGAAGGGTACACAGCAATCAGCAAACACTTAAGAAAAAGGTAACTGAAATGTGGTAGGAGAGTTTTGTGGCGTTTTAATTTACCTGTGCTCCATCCTCTCACCACTGGCTCCATGAGAGTTTTTAGAGGGCAGCCTGCATTCCCAGTGTGGATTCCTCATGGTGGAGGGAGTAGAGCAGACTTTGATATCAAAGAATAGTGCTTGGGGGGGGGCCGGACCTGTGGCTTAGCGGTTAAGTGTGTGTGCTCCACTACTGGCGGCCCGGGTTCGGATCCCGGGTGTGCACCAATGCACTGCTTCTCCGGCAATGCTGAGGTCACGTCCCACATACAGCAACTAGAAGGATGTGCAACTATGACATACAACTATCTACTGGGGCTTTGGGGAAAAAAAAAAAAGGAGGAGGATTGGCAATAGATGTTAGCTCAGAGCTGGTCTTCCTCAGCAAAAAGAGGAGGATTAGCACGGATGTTAGCTCAGGGCTGATCTTCCTCACAAAAAAAAAAAAAATAGTGCTTGACCGCTTTGACCTGTCAAGTGGCTCCCTGAAGGAATAATGCAAAGGCTTACCTATATTTCACATAACTCAGAACTCGTTCAGGACAGAGAAGTGGCAACACAGAGGAAATTTCTAAGAAAAAAATTCACTAGAGGGATTCAACAGCAGATTTGTGCAAGCAGGATAAAGAACCTGCAAACGTGAAGATATGTCAATTCAAATTAGCCAGTCCAAGAGCAGAAAGAAAAAAGAATGCAGAAAAATGAACAGAGCCTAAGAGACCTGTGGGACATTGTAAAATGTACTGACATAAGTATAATAGGAGTCCCAGAAGGGGAGGAGAGAGAGAGAGACAGACAGAGACACAGAGACAGAGACAGAGACAGAGACAGAGAAAGGGAGAGGAAGAATACTTAAAGAAATACTGACCAAAAACTCAAATATAATGGAACATGAATCTACACATCCAAGAAGTTCAACAAGCACCAAGTAGGATAAAAGCAAAGACATTCACATTGAGATACACAGTAATTACACTATCAAAAGGCAAAGACAAATTAAGAGTCTTGAAAGCTGTAGGAGAGAAGGGATTAATTTTAAACAAGGGATCCTTGTTAGGATTAACAGCCAAATTTATCACAGAAACCATGGAAGCCAGAAGACAGTGAGATGATATATTGAAAGTGCTGAAAGAAAAAAACTGTCATCCCCCAATTCTATATCTGGCAAAACTATCTTTCAAAAATAAAGGAGGAGGGGCCAGTCCCGTGGTGTAGCGGTTAAGTGCGCCGCTCCACTGGTGTCGGTCTGAGTTCGGATCCTGGGCGCACACCGATGCACCACTTGTCAGGCCATGCTGTGGCAGCGTCTCATATAGCATGGAGGAAGATGGGCATGGATGTTAGCCCAGGGCCAGCCTTCCTCAGCAAAAAAAGAAAAGAGAGAGAAGGATTGGCATGGATGTTAGCTCAGGGCTGATCTTCCTCACAAAAAAAATAAATAAAAAAAATAAAGGAGGAATTAAGACATTACCAGACAAACAAAAGCAGAGGGTGTTTGTCACTTGTAAATCTTCCCTATAAGAAATTCTAAAGGGGGTCTCTTAGGTTGAGATGAAATCGCACTAGATAGTAACCTGGAGCCATACAAAAAATAATGAACCATGGTAAAGGTAACTACATAGATAAATATAAAGCCTATATTTTTATATTTTTTGTTTATATCTCCTCTTTTTTGCTATATAATTTAAAAACAAATGCATAAAGAGTAATTATAGAGTTATGTTATGTTAATGAGAACACCCAATGGGTAAAGATGTGTATGTTTCTACATGTAAAAAGTTATCGTTTGCTGTTTTTTTTCATCGTACATCTCACATAGTTCAAATGTATACAAAATTAGGAGAATTTAAAGTATTGTAAGATAAATTGTTTTGAATGAGAGCTTGCTTTGCAGTACTTTGAGGTTCATAAGACATACCTAAAAAATTTAGGACTGTGGAAAATGAAGACTACTGAAATAACATGGGAGAGGTGACTGTGGTTTTTCTTTTGATTGATTGCCATAAGCCTGTCCTCAGTCATCTGAAGGATCTTCATATATTCTTGAGACATCATTAAGAACAGAAGCTTTGCAGGCAGAATAACTTTGATGCTATATGAATTCTGTCATTTTTCTAGCACTGATATGGGTTTGGATCCACCACAATATTAGATCTATTAACCCATTTATATTAATTTTGTTACAAATCTTAAAAAGGGGAGGTGCTTCTTATAAAGACTGTGCTTTAGGTCCACATTCTCTTTTTAAGGCTTTATATTTATTTTTCATAAATTTTCTAAGACTGTGGTGGTTGCTATCTTATGTTGCTGTCACATCTCCTTTGGTTTTTCCCTTTCCTGAGAAATGACTCTGAGATTTCTGTCAGATGCAATGTACTCTTAGAGAAAGGGATTTCAATATTAGCATCTTCTATCTCATTCTGTTTCCTACACAGTTTTTGGTGGGAATTGGAGGGGCCAGACCGGTCCATCTTTGGACTAGTTACATGGTTCTGATTAGATGGTTCTTGAAAACAGCCAGCTGCATTGCTGATCTCCAGCAACCAGCTTCATGAGGCGGGTTGTGGAACGAGGAAGAATACTAGTTGTCTGTGCTTGCTTCTCTGTAGACCCGATTAAGCTTATTGCAGAGATAGCCCTCTGATAAATCTGGTTTGCTGGTTAGGGTAGGATGGAAACACAGAGAGAGTGAGATCAGATCCATAACTTTTGCAGATTAATCACTAGATACTAAATCTTGTAATACAAGAAAAGAGAATAAGAGAAATTAGACAAATTAACAGGTAAACTGGCTTTTATTTACAGTCTAGGTACTGAAGGCAGGTCCATGTCTACGGCAATAATAATAAAAATGACAGCCTAAATAAGCACTATTTCAACACAGATGTGTCACTGGTGCAAAATAGAGGGAAGAAACCCAGGCTCCTCCAGTCCCTGACCTTGTTAAAATATATTGTCTAGGTTGCGAACTGGAAACATGTTTGTTCATCATGTTTTAGGCCATTCTGTCTTGAAAGGATTCTTGTCACTTAGAATAGATTTCTTTAAAAATTGGAGGTGAGGGGGGGCTGGCCCCGTGGCTTAGCGGTTAAGTGCGTGCGCTCCACTACTGGCGGCCCGGGCTTCGGATCCCGGGCGTGCACCGACGCACTGCTTCTCCGGCCATGCAGAGGCCACGTCCCACATACAGCAACTAGAAGGATGTGCAACTAGGACATACATATGTATAGGACATAAGCCCTATACAACTAGGGCTTTGGGGGGAAAAAAAAGAGGAGGAGGATTGGCAATAGATGTTAGCTCAGAGCTGGTCTTCCTCAGCAAAAAGAGGAGGATTAGCATGGATGTTAGCTCAGGGCTGATCTTCCTCACACACAAAAAAAGAAAATTGGAGGTGAGGGAATGAGATAGGAGGGGTCTGGTCTGAAGTGGAGAAGAGCTATGCAATATGAAATGCTCCTTGAACCTCGAGAACCTCACATGGAATTCTAGAGTAGAGTACTTTATGATTGATTTGCCAGTGCAGGAAAGTGGCTCTTTGCTATAAATGCTTTTGCTCAGAAAAGAGTGGCCATTTGATGTAAAACACATACACATACACTTTCCCCCTCCCCATACACCTTGACTTGGACCATGTGATTCTCAAATTTTTAATTTAACTAAAGTGGCAGATGTTTACTTTCGTCAGTTCACATAATAAGGGTCTACATTTTGGATATGTCTTTGATCTCGGTCATGAGTCCACAAGATGGCAGTGTCTTCTCAGGGACCCTGAGGAAAGCTCTCAAGTGCCCCTGTGTGTGTGTGTGTGTGAAAGAGACAGAGAGAGAGAGAGATGAGAGGAGGGGCTTGCTGGTGTAGCAGGAGTAGTGAAGTCTTTTTTTTCTCATTGGTAGAATAAATTCTTTTTATGATTCCTAAAGCAGAAGAATTAGAAATATCTGAGATAGACTCGTTTTTTAGAGTTTAAAATTTGAATCCTCAGTGAACCAGAGGAGGAAAGAATGATGAAATCCTCAAGAGTTTCATTAGTGATCCTGTGGCTTCAGTTAACCTGTGAGTTTGGGGCATCTTTATGGGAATGTAAAGTACAATATTTGGAGTTATTGTCTATTCTGAGCCTCTTAGTAGAAATGTGAAAGTTTTTTCCCTCTAACTAAAGGAGGGTAGAGGTGGGAGGCCCGTGAAAAGATGATTTAAATTCTGGAAAGTAGGCTTCCACTTCCCAACCAATCTTCTTTGCCTGACCACTGTCTTTTTGCACAGGGATGAGGAGCCAACAGAACAGAGTGGAGCAGAGTCCTGGATCTCGGAGTGTTCCAGAGGGAGCCACTGCCTCTCTCAACTGCACTTATAGTGACAGTGCTTCCAACTACTTCACATGGTATAGACAGTATTCTGGGAAAGGTCCTGAGTTGCTGGTGTACATATACTCCAATGGTGAGAAGGATGAAGGAAGATTTACAGCGCAGCACAATAAAGTCAGCCAGTATGTCTCTCTGCTCATCAGAGATTCCCAGCCCAGCGACTCAGCCACCTACCTCTGTGCAGTGAGCACACAGTGCTCCCCCAGCACCTGCAGTCTGTACCCAAACATGCTGGGGCCCCACAAATGTCTGATACAGAGGTTAGGCTGCAAGGCAGAGAAAATTCTGTTAGCTGTCTAGATGCAAATAGAAGTTCAGAACATCAGCCATAGCCATAGAATGCCCCATACACACAGGCAGGGTGTGGGAGCACAGAATGGCTTCTGGTTTCCTGAAAAGGATCTCCAAGCAAGTATCTAAAAAAATTCCAGACACTGAGGAGCTTTGTTATGGTGATTAAAGACCTACATGGATCAATTTTCAAGGACCATATGGTATTGAGGATATCTTAAAAAATGTTACAGAGGAAAGTTGGAAACTCCAAAGATCATATGAATGCCCCCCTCCCCTGACTCCTTGGCACTATGGAATTTCCCTACAACTTATGCCCAAGTCCAGGAAAAATGTCTCTTGTCTGGTTGATGGCAATAACCCTCACTGATCTCTCGTCATTCATCCTTGCCCCTCTTCAATCTGTTCTCCTCATAGTGGAGTGATCTTTTGAAAAGGTACTCCAGATCATGTGGTTTCTATGCTCACAACTCTCCAGTTTCCTATCTCACTCAGATAAAAACCAAATTCTTTACTACAACCTACAAGGCTGTACTCCGTCTGGCTCCTTGCCACCTCTTTGACATCAGCTGCTGTCTCCCCTCTTACTAAGTCTCTCCAGCCTCATGCACTTGCTGTTGCTCTAACATGGCAATAATTGTCCTGCCCCAGGGTCTTTGCAGCTGCTCCTTCCTCCACCTGGGGTGCTTTGACCCCAGGTAGCCACAGAGTTTACTCCTTCACTTCATTCTGGCCTCTGATGAGGAGTCATGCTCAACATTTTTTTTGCAGCATTTGGTGGGGGCGGTGGTGACAGTAGAAAAAAAGAAAAGAAAACCACAAAATGTTTCTCAGAGAATGGTTCAAGAAGCTGTGGTAATTCCATTCTACAGGATATTATGAACCAGATGTGTTAATATCAATAGGTCACCAGGACATTTAATTGAGTACCAGAACACAAGTTACAAACTGCTAGCATTTAGACATTATAGTCAGAGAAAAATTTATATATATATATATGTATATATTTTAAGAATGTATGCATATGTCCTTTAAAAGTAAATTAATAATAAAGATTAGGCCATTATACTTCACATCCCCCAACTTCTTTCTACATCTCTGCCCATCTCTTCCTCTTTATTTTCATCTAGGAAGTATCACTATTCCACGCCCAATCTAAGATCTCTACTTAATCTTGTGATAACATTCCTTTCTGTCTTTTCTAGAAAAAGACAAAAAGACCATATTCTTACTAAATCTTTGTCTAACCTTCCTCTGTTATAAGAAATGTCTTCTTTCTATGGGTTCATTTTGGGGTGCCACATTATATATGAACACACACATGTTTGTCTTTCCTATTATGCTGCGAAAGTCTGTGAGCATAGATGACTTTTCATTCATTTTTTTAACTTCTTAAGACCTAGCACAAGATCTAGTTTATAGAACACCTTCAATAAATTGCTGTGGACTTATTTTGAAATAGACTGGAGAAATCACACTCTACCCTAAAAATGCAATTTGACACAGTATTTTAAGATGGTAATCTGCATTAAATCACATTTTGAAGAAGAAACCAGTTTACTTAAAAAAAAAGTCCCCATCCAGCCTGAGAGTTCTTTTGCTCCTTATAATCTGTGGATGGTCCTCAGGAGAGAATGGAATGAGGGCTCTGGGGTTCTGGTGATGGCTAATGAGTAGTTGGCCTGATGGTTTTAGACCTCTAGGAGGCTCTCTAGGCTTTACTCTAAATAAGAACTTTTTTCTCGAGTTCTGAGATACTTGAATCTTAGTGAAAATTTGAATGAGGGTTAGCAGCAGTTCAGGGAGCATCTGAACTAGCCATATACTATAAGAACATGGGAGTCTCCATATATTCATCTGCGAGGAAGGTCTGCTGCTGTGATGGGTTCACAGAGCTGATTCCCCAAGCAGAATGGAGTATAACTAGGGCCGTGGTAAAGCTGGAATCTCCAGAAGAAAACATCCAAACTACCTATTTGCACTTTTGATTTTCATGACTAAACATTCTGAAATATGAGCCTTTACTCTCACTTCAAAATTATTCCAATAATTTCTACTTTCTGTTATACCACTTCTGAGACAAAAACAAAACAGGAAAAGAGAAATGAGACAATGAAATGGGAGAAAAATAATAAATATACATAGAGAAAGAGAAGAGAAAAAAGAAAAGAGAGACTGGGGAGAAAGAAAAAGTACATAGTTACTTGAATTGTGGCCTGTACTTCATAGTCACAGAGCAGAATCAGCCAGGTGTACCTGCAAGGTGCAGGAGAAAGTATTGGCTGGGAGAAGGGAGATGGACATGAGGTCAGGTGGCCATCGTATACATGTCCTATTTCTCTGTGCGTCAACCAAAGGCTTGTCAGAGATATTGTATTTGTTCATGATGACCATAAGGCTGAGGTTTACAGAATTCTCCTAATTTCATTTAGTTGTATTTGCTCCTTTAAGGAAATTTAATAAATAAACAATACTTTCAATGAGATATCCTTTCTTCCTGAGAGCTTTCTTGTAAATGAGTTCTCAATCACTTTTCAAACTATGTGTCTTGATTTTTGGGTAAGGAAATTGGGTCACTGACACTGATAATTTTTTCACGTTATACTTGACCCAGATGAGGCCCTTGTTTCTCTCCGTGGTAGCCTCTCCCTTTCTCCACTCCCCTTCTGACATGTCGGATTACTGGGGCACTTTAAGTGGAGACAATCCTGTGACACTGAAAAGCCTTGACATTTCTGTGCCTGTGGTCGGCAGTGTAGCAGACGGCAGGGCACGGATATCAGCAGCAACGCCAGCACCCTGCTGAAAAACTAGAAGGAAATCTCTTTGCTCTCTGATGTCCTTGTTCTCCTCTTCATGAAGGACAGATGGGACTCAGCCTATTGTTACTTTTTTCTCAGGTATTTGGGGGCTAGAGGAGAGGCTTCTCAAGAGAATTAGCTTCCTTCTTGGAGGTCCACTGATCTCTGCAGGTCAAGCTCCTTCCATGATCCATAGTTTTCTGCTCTTTATCCTGGAGTTCCCTCCTACCTGAACCCAGATTTATATATAAGCACAAATGGGATACCTCACTTGAGCTCTCTTGGCATAGCTTGGATGGTCACCACAGATGCTCCTTGGCTAAGCACAGGGGATCAGGGACATTTTCAATGTACCATCATTTTAGAATTGCCTTCTTCCTAAGCCAAATGATTATTTCTTTGTTTATAGCTTATTTTTTTAAAAAACTTGTAAAACTAAAATTCTAAAAGGCCACTTCCTGGTGTAGGAAAGTTCAGAATCAATGATGATTAATGGAAAATAACTTATCTAGTAATGTTTAAACATTTCATTGACATACCTGTATGGATGTTTGGATTTATATGAAGTATGATCTATGAATATTTTTCCTTATGTTTTCTGACTGTCATGCTTATAAAATCTATGACTATCTTAAATTTATAAAAAAATTTATCTTTTATTTTATTTTAGAATATTAATTAGTATTTTATTTGGAATTCATTTTGTAACAGATACTAAGATAGGCATCCAACTGTATTTGTTTATTTCTAAATAACTCTCCATTCATGAAGCACATTTTATTGAATATACCGTATTTTCCTCATTTTTATTAGAACTAAATTCTGAGAAGTAATTTGTATGTTTGGATTTTCTATTCTATTCTATTGATCTCTCTATCTGGACCTTTCTGATAACATAGTTTTTCGATTAGTAGGACATTACACTTTGTCTTATTACCTGTGGAGGAAATCCCTCTCCATTCTGTTTGAGAATTTCAAGGCTTCCTGAAGTCTGAGATTATCTGCAGTATCAGATTTGGCCTCTAGAGGAAGATGCTACACAAATGAACTTGGTAGAAAGCGAGAAAGCAACCAGCCCTTTGAGGAAGAGCTTTTGCTTTACTGCTGAGTAAACTCACTCACCACTCTGTCAGAGTGTCCATGTGGCTGAATTGTTTCCAGAAAAGAGCCTCCTGTCTCCTCACAGCTCAGACATGAAGCCCATCCTCATCTCAGTGCTTGTGATGATATTCACACTCAGTGAATCAAGTCTCTTTTTATTCTGTCTTTCTATGGTCTTCTGATGTAGAATCAGTTTAAAGAAATATTCTCCACAGTCTGAAAGACTCTCCCTGATCCAGACATGGTGTTACAGGAGGAACAAGAGCCCAGACAGTGACTCAGCCTGAGGACCATATCTCTATCTTTGAAGGGGCCCCGGTGCAGGTGAAGTGCAACTATTTGTATTCTGGGAGTCCTGATCTCTTCTGGTACGTCCAGTACCCCAAACAAGGCCTCCAGTTACTCCTGAAACACACCTCAGGAGACAGCATCAAAGGTTTCATGGCTGATCTTAACAAGGGTGAGAAGTCCTTCCTTCTGAAGAAACCATCAGTTCAAGAGGAAGACTCAGCCATGTATTACTGTGCTCTGAGTGCCACAGTGACTGGTATTACCAGGGAAGCAGAGCACAAACCCTTTGGGAGTTACAGAGACTATTTCTTTGTAAGTTCTCCATTTGGCCACAGAGGGGCATTGTTTCTCTCGAGACTGACATTGAGTTTACCTCTTAGAAAATATCATCAGTTGTCAGTTAGCTATAGATTAACCTCAAAAATTTGTCCAAGAAAATTCTCATTACCTACTCGGCCTAATTAGTTTTAAAAACAGTGTATTTATTCTGTCTAGTAGTACCTGGAAAAATACCTTTGAAATAAAAACTACATAGCACAGCAGAAAAACGTTTTTTTTCTTGGCCCGGAAAAGAAGCTGGGACTCTCCACGTGTAAGTGCCATGGTCCCACCTTTCCAACTCCTCTGCCAGCCCATCCACCCCCACCTGTGTTCACCACAATATACTTAAGCTCAGTTCCTTAAAAGTGTGGTACTGTTTCATCACATGTGATTGCTGATCTTTCTGCATCTAATGCCTTTCCTCTCATGCACTTCATGGACTCCTACTGTCTCAATCAAGGTCTAATCAGGAGGAACAAAAAAACAGTAATTTGA